ACACGTTGCCTACTGCTTTTCAAACATAGGTTTCTGTCAAATGTAAACAATAATCTACTCTCTTCAGATGCAGATTACACCTAGATTAAACCAACGTCTGTTCTTCCAGGAAACAGGTCTAAAGGTGGGCCAGGAGGCGTCCTTTGCTGTACAACTGAACGGCGTCCGAGGCCTGATCGATGCAAAGGTCCACACCCCATCAGGAGCCACCGAGGAGTGTGCTGTCACTGAGCTGGACAGCGGTAAGAACCACCAGGGCGCTCAGCACCTGCAGGTGTTCCTCATGTCATTCTGATCCTGTTGTGGAAGTTGTGTATCCATATTTGACCCATTCCTGTGGAACGGTGGGCTGGCTGCCACTTGTACAATGCACTGAAAGTCAGGGTTCAGTGTCAGAGGTTGATCGTGTTGGTTTTTCTATTGCAGACATGTTGGAGACGTGGTCAGCCAATGGCCGACACGTACTGCTGGTACTTATGGGACGATTTTCACGGCCGTTATGTGAAGCTGAATCAGTGTTTGAACTCTAAATTTAATTAACTGTTACATCTTAACTTGGTGCACTGCTCAGTGTTTCAGACACCTAAATAAAGTTAATAGTTAGAGTATTTATTATATTCAGATGGTATTAGTGGAGCATCGATGCATCGAGATGCGGACAAAAACAATTCTGAATCGTAGAAGAAGCTCGCCATAATTGATTATAGTGAGATACAGTTTTGTTTTTTAACCACGGCACCAGCGTCACCTCCAAATTAATCCAGATTTGGACCACTGAATCATGATAACTGAGCAGGTTGGGTCACGCAGAGCGCTCCACACAGCCGAGAAGCAAGGGGGAGAGGTTGCACACAAGAGAGAGGTGCGGAGAACTCTAGACATGCATTATTATCCTTCCTCTGTATTAAGAAGCGCTTAAAAACTCAGATTCACTCGGGCTCAGACCGAATGTTGTGATGTCAGGAGATCCGGTGTTGGGGGGGGGGTGAGTACATGTTGTAGGGATCAAAGGAACAGCGTTAGGCTGGTTTAAATCCTACCTGTCTGACAGATTTCATTTTGTAAATGTACATGACAAATCTTCTTCATACTCCAGGGTTACTTGTGGAGTACCACAGGGTTCAGTGCTTGGACCAATTCTTTTTACTATATATATGCTCCCAATTGGTAAAATCATTAGACAGCATGGGATAAACTTCCACTGTTATGCTGACGATACTCAGCTATATTTATCCATTAACCCTGATGAACCTAGTCGGTTGGGTAGATTACAGGCTTGTCTTGAGGACATAAAAAATTGGATGACTCTTAACTTTTTGCTTTTAAAAATCAAGACAAGACTGAAGTTCTCATCTTTGGACCAGAAATCCAGAAAAGGAAATTGCTTAGCCAATCGCCTGACCTGAACGGCATTACATTAATCTCCGAGAACAAAGTAAGGAACCTTGGTGTTATCTTTGACCAGGGCATGTCATTCAAATCCCAGGTTAAACAGGTTTGTAGGATTTCCTTTTTCCACCTTCAGAATATTGCTAAGATTAGAAGCATACTTTCCAGGAGTGATGCTGAAAAACTAGTTCATGCATTTATTACATCAAGACTGGATTACTGTAATCCATTACTCTCAGGAAGTCCACAGAATGTAGTTAAAAGTCTTCAGCTTGTCCAAAATGCTGCAGCTAGAGTTCTGATGAGAATTAAAAAGAGAGATCATATCTCTCCTGTCTTAGCTTCCCTACACTGGCTACCTGTTAAATTCAGAATAGATTTTAAGATCCTTCTTCTCACATATAAAGCTCTTAATAATCAAGCTCCATCATACATCAGTGATCTGATTGTTCCACACGTTCCTAACCGAGCACTTCGCTCTCAGACTGCAGGTCTACTGGTGGTTCCCAGAATATCTAAAATTAGGATGGGAGGCAGATCTTTTAGTTATCAGGCTCCTCTCCTGTGGAACCAGCTCCCAGCTTTAGTCCGTGAGGCAGACACTTTGTCTACTTTTAAGAATAGGCTTAAAACATTTTTATTTGATAGGGTCTATGGTTAAAATCTGATGTTAGCCTAGATCTGGACAAGTGGGGGAGTAGAGGGAGGTGGAGTGTACAGTCGGTAAAGACGGCTCTCCCTTGCCCTGCCTCCAACATGCCTCCATCTAAATAGGATAGATTATCCAGAGTTATCTCTGTAGTTATGCTGCTATAGGCTTAGACTGCTGGAGGATACACTGACCACTTTCCACACTCTACTGCTTTTTTCTACTATCTGCTCTTTAACTGTATTATTTCCTGCTATTTCAGCTGTTAACTTTATTTTCTCTCTAAGTGTTTTCTCCCCAGAAGAAGCTACAACGATGTTCTGCTGAGCTGTGGTGGCCTCATGGAGGGGGCCATCGGCTAGCACACTGCTGCTAACCACTTAAACATTCTCCCTCTCCTGATAATAACTTTTTACTCTCTTTGACGTTGGATGTGCTACTACTAGTTTACCCGTTTAATTATAGATCCACTAGGATAAATACAATAAAGTTTATCTCTCACCTAATAGAATATTTACTAAGACATCACAATATAACTATAGACACATTACGTGTGTTGTGTGTGCGTGCGTGCGTGCGTGCGTGCGTGCGTGCGTGCGTGCGTGCGTGCGTGCGTGCGTGTGTGTGTGTGTGTGTGTGTGTGTGTGTGTGTGTGTGTGTGTGTGTGTGTGTGTGTGTGTGTGTGTGTGTGTGTGTGTGTGTGTCTGCTCTGTCTTCTCCAACCCCAGTGAGTCGTGGAGGATGGCTGCTTATACTGAGCCAGGATCCTCTGGAGGTTTCTTCCTGTTAAAAGGGAGTTTTCCTCTCCACTGTCGCTGCATGCTTGCTTAGTATGAGGATTGCTGTAAAGACTCTGACACTAGTCAGTGACTTGATGCAACCTGCTGGGTTCCTTATATAGGAAACGTGTTACAGACTGGCTTAATGACCTGACCTGTGTTGTTTACTGTGTGCAGGTCCTTGAGACGACTCTGGTCCTGACTTGGTGCTTTATAAATAAACTGAATTGAATTACTTCATTTAAGCCATTCTCCACCTCTAGGCTAACCAGACGATGAATGGCTTGTTTTTTAGTGAAGGCGGCCAAATTATCGGTGGGAACTATTTGGTCATTGCTGACTTTGGTGGGACACATCACCTCCGTCCATGCCAAACCTACACCCATGTGTGCATCACTACCTTGCTCAGAGTCACATCTGCAAATATATTGCTGATCATCATTTATTGGCACTAGCCCAACCCTAGTGTTAAAGAACATAAATGATGTTTCTACAGATCAGAACGCCATCGGGTTCATCCCAAAGGAGAACGGGGTTTATTCCATAGATGTCTGCTACAATGGCAGCCACATCCCTGGCAGTCCTTTTAGAATCAGGGTGGGTGAACCAGGACAGGTCGGAGATCCAGGTCTTGTGTCAGCCTTTGGCCCTGGACTGGAGGGAGGAGCAACAGGTACAGAACAACCTTTTTGTTTCAGTACCTTTCCTGATAGTCTGGTGGGGGTTGACGAGTGGCTGTATCTGTTTGTTAAGGTGTTTCATCGGAGTTTATCGTCAACACCTGCAATGCTGGAGCTGGAGCTCTTTCTGTGACCATTGATGGTCCATCAAAGGTCAAGATGGACTGTCAGGAATGTCCTGAAGGCTACAAAGTGTCCTACACTCCCATGGCTCCAGGAAATTACCTGATATCAATCAAATATGGAGGCCCCCTTCATGTTGTCGGCAGTCCCTTCAAAGCCAAAGTCTCAGGTGAGTCTTCTCACCCAGCTCAGGGTGCTTCTAAGTCAGACTTCCAAGAGTTTCCCTTCAGTGGAAAATCCGGCTGAAACGGGCCTTTTGCAGTCTGCTCTTCGCCTCCAGGCTGCTCATGTTTCCCAGATACTGAAGCAGGATTATTCCCATTTCTGGTCCACTGGATTTTCAGTTATCTGAGGCACATTTGAACTTAGACAAAGGGACTGCTCCGTCGTTGAAATGTTTCCTCTGATCGTGTTTGAGGTCGGCCATCTTTTATGTTAATACTTTATTCCTTGTTTTATCCGTTTGTTTCTACTTTAAAGTTTTACCCTCTTTGCACTGCTTACATTGTTTTATTACCTATTTGTTCATGTACATTTCTTATGTATGCAGCGCCTTGGGCTCCCTGGCAGGGAAGGCTCTTTATAAATAAAGCTTTGAATTGAATTGAATTGAATTGATGTGGCTGGAGCAGATGTAAACTAACGCCAGCTGGTTGCTTCCCACTGTCTAACCAGCCCACCTCCAGCTGAGGAACGGTGAACAGGACAGAATCCAGCTCTTCACTGGTCCACGTTAACATAGAATTTTCAGATCAAACTGGGATTTGATCAAAACGTTACTGATTTAGTCATCTTCTCCCTTTTGATGAGTTCCAGATCCAAACGTCCATCCTTAAGTCAGTTCCCAAACCGACCGTGTTTGGAGTTCTGGTCTCTGAGAGCTAGCGTTCTCAGGTGGTTCTCTGCTCCCACCAGGACCATCAGACATCAGATTCAGTACTTTGTGGACCAGCAGACCTTCCTGCTGATTACCTGCAGTTGGTACTCACATGAAAAGCTGAAGTCCATGCATCCCACGTGTCTGTTTGCAGGAGTGAACTAGAAGCAGTTAGATCAGAAACGGCTGATTTGATTCTGGTCTCATCTCAGCAGGAAGTGACGGATGTGATTGTTAACTCGGTTCAGGTCTGAGGTATCTCTAACTCCTCCCACAGGACCTCGTCTGTCAGGTGGACACAATATGCACGAGACATCTTCTGTTCTTGTGGAAACGGTCACCAAGACGTCAGAGACGAGCGAAGCCTTTGCCTCATTTCCCAAGTTTTCCTCAGATGCCAGTAAGGTGACCTCCTGTGGGGCCGGCCTTTCCAAAGCCTTCATCGGTCAGAGGAACACTTTCACGGTTGACTGCAGCAAAGCAGGTGAGAAACACTTGAGCTGCTTCCTGAAGGCAAAAAGGGCCTTTATGACCTGGATGATCTGGTTCTGATCCTGCAGGCACCAACATGTTGATGGTTGGCGTCCATGGGCCGAAGACACCGTGCGAGGAGGTCTACGTCAAACACATGGGCAACAGGATGTATAATGTGACGTATACGGTGAAGGAGCAAGGCAGCTACATGCTCCTAGTAAAGTGGGGGGAGGAGAACATCCCTGGGAGTCCGTTCCATGTCACCGTCCCGTAGAACTCTCCTCCACGCTCTCTCAGCAACTTACCCTCCTCGTCATCCTCATTCCAATCAATACTCCTAACTCTGTCCTCGTGTTGGTCGCCTGGTTTCTTCAGTTGGATCTCCCTCAGATCTCACCTCCAGAACGGTCTCACCTCCAGAAGGGTCTCACCTCCAGAACTGTCTCACCTCCAGAAGGGTCTCACCTCCAGAACTGTCTCACCTCCAGAAGGGTCTCACCTCCAGAACTGTCTCACCTCCAGAACGGTCTCACCTCCAGAAGGGTCTCACCTCCAGAAGGATCTCAGCTCCAGAACTGTCTCACCTCCAGAAGGGTCTCACCTCCAGAAGGATCTCAGCTCCAGAACTGTCTCACCTCCAGAAGGGTCTCACCTCCAGAACGGTCTCACCTCCAGAAGGGTCTCACCTCCAGAAGGATCTCACCTCCAGAACTGTCTCACCTCCAGAAGGGCCTCAGCTCCAGATGGGTCTCACCTCCAGAACTGTCTCACCTCCAGAAGGGACTCACCTCCAGAACGGTCTCACCTCCAGAAGGGTCTCACCTCCAGAAGGATCTCACCTCCAGAACTGTCTCACCTCCAGAAGGGCCTCAGCTCCAGAAGGGTCTCACCTCCAGAACTGTCTCACCTCCAGAAGGGTCTCACCTCCAGAACGGTCTCACCTCCAGAAGGATCTCACCTCCAGAACTGTCTCACCTCCAGAAGGGCCTCAGCTCCAGAACTGTCTCACCTCCAGAAGGGCCTCAGCTCCAGAACTGTCTCACCACCAGGAGGATCTCACCTCCAGAACGGTCTCACCTCCAGAAGGGTCTCACCTCCAGAAGGGCCTCAGCTCCAGAAATGTCTCACCACCAGGAGGATCTCACCTCCAGAACGGTCTCACCTCCAGAAGGATCTCACCTCCAGAACTGTCTCACCTCCAGAAGGGCCTCAGCTCCAGAAGGGTCTCACCTCCAGAACTGTCTCACCTCCAGAAGGGTCTCACCTCCAGAACGGTCTCACCTCCAGAAGGGTCTCACCTCCAGAAGGATCTCACCTCCAGAACTGTCTCACCTCCAGAAGGGCCTCAGCTCCAGAAGGGTCTCACCTCCAGAACGGTCTCACCTCCAGAACTGTCTCACCTCCAGAAGGGCCTCAGCTCCAGAACTGTCTCACCTCCAGAAGGGCCTCAGCTCCAGAACTGTCTCACCACCAGGAGGATCTCACCTCCAGAACTGTCTCACCTCCAGAAGGGTCTCACCTCCAGAACTGTCTCACCTCCAGAAGGGCCTCAGCTCCAGAACTGTCTCACCACCAGGAGGATCTCACCTCCAGAACTGTCTCACCTCTAGAAGGGTCTCACCTCTAGAACGGTCTCACCTCCAGAAGGATCTCACCTCCAGAAGGATCTCACCTCCAGAACTGTCTCACCTCCAGAAGGCTCTCACCTCCAGAAGGGTCTCACCTCCAGAACTGTCTCACCTCCAGAAGGGTCTCACCTCCAGAACGGTCTCACCTGCAGAAGTATCTCACCTCCAGAAGGATCTCACCTCCAGAACGGTCTCACCTCCAGAAGGGTCTCACCTCCAGAAGGATCTCACCTCCAGAAGGGTCTCACCTCCAGAACTGTCTCACCTGCAGAAGGGTCTCACCTCCAGAACGGTCTAACCTCCAGAACGGTCTCACCTCCAGAAGGATCTCACCTCCAGAACTGTCTCACCTCCAGAAGGATCTCACCTCCAGAACGGTCTCACCTCCAGAAGGATTTCACCTCCAGAAGGGTCTCACCTCCAGAACTGTCTCACCTCCAGAAGGGTCTCACCTCCAGAAGGGTCTCACCTCCAGAACTGTCTCACCTCCAGAAGGGTCTCACCTCCAGAAGGGTCTCACCTCCAGAAGGGTCTCACCTCCAGAAGGGTCTCACCTCCAGAACGGTCTCACCTCCAGAAGGATCTGACCTCCAGAAGGGTCTCACCTCCAGAACTGTCTCAACACCAGAAGGGTCTCACCTCCAGAAGGGTCTCACCTCTACGTTTATCCTGCTGAATCATGAAGATCATTCCACACAGAGATTCAGTCACCGAGCCTGCTTGACCTTAGCTGACCTGTGGTTTACTCAGTAATGAAGAAGTGGACATCTGGGGCCTGATTTAGTTCTAAAGTTGAGAAAAGCGAGAACCTACCCAGAGGAAGCATCTGACCTCTAAAACTCTTCTGCAGCACTTCCTGCTTTGTAAACCTCACCGGTCCTAAAATGGGCTCAGGTGTTTCTGGACCACAGCCCTCCTCCTGCACACCCACCTTCTGCCATAGGTGGACGATGCACGTGGCTTCTCATCGCTGTGCTGCCACTTTCCCCTCTCCAAACTGAGCTTGCAGGGAGGTCCAAGTTGTCCCGTCAAGCTTTCCTTTAAAGGTTCCCTATCATGCTCTTCCCTCTGGGGGAACAGGTGGGCACAGCCTGAGAAAATATTACCGCTGGCACTACCAAGATGTCATATGCTTTATTTTTGTCAGCCTGAGCTCGTACCCGGAGATGAAACGCTTCATGCGAGTGAAACTCCACCCACATCTCTGACAAAACGGGCTTCAACAGCGAGTCCATTAGTGTGCTGGCTGTGGTTCGGGTTCGGGATCCAGCCAGCACTCCAACCTCTGGACTACCTAGTCTGCATCATGGCACTCGTCGCCTAACCCACATATCCTGCTCATGCAGGGGGGACCGGTTTCAGACCAGAGACTAGCTTCAGAGAGGAGCAGGGCTAGTTTCCATCAACGCTCTACAAGATTTTCAAAGTAAAACTCCAAATTTGCAGCTGAAACAGGGAAATGCATGAATGTGGTCAAAATGGTTTTGGGTTTTTTTCCATGAGGAAATGATATCACATGGTAAAAAGCTCCAAAAAGATGATCATCCATCACACGGCGCCTTTAAAAGTCACGTCTGTGTCTTCTTCTGTCACATTCATCCCTCCACCAGTCTGGACCAGAGTGAGTGTGTTAGTTCTGAGTTCACCTGCAGCAGAACCTTTCTCGGTGTTTCTGGACCTTTCTTCCAGATGTGACTTGTGCTGGTTTATAGGAACACATGGTTTCAGTTGGCTGAGTCTTGATGAACCACGCTACTGCAGTGAGGATGTGCCTCTGACCCATAATCCAGTTAGCGTTTGTACCACAGATTGTTCTACATGTAGCCAAATGAACGAGTGAATGTGTTTGATATTTTATTGCATGGCACAATTCATCCACACGGGCAATTCAGTGTGATTTCCATTTGTAAGAATAGCATGAACATCAAAACCAACACGACAGAAGTACAGAGTAAAAACTAAAAAGGTAAAGAAGATCTTTTCTAAAGCGCCTCTCAAGACAAAAATCACGAGGCGCTTCACAAAAACAACAAATTCAAAAATGTTTAAAATATGTTTAAAAGGAGAAAAGAAATAAATGTGAGGAAAGGGAGAGAACATGAACAGGAAAGAGGGAAATCAGTGGATCCTGGGAAAGGCAGGGAGAGCAGAACCAGGAGAGGGTGATGAAGGTCCCACCAAAGCCTGAACAGGTGAGTTTAAAGGAGACCCCTGAGTCCACTGATCTCAGGCTCAGGGGGAGAGAGGTCCAGAGTCTGGGGGCCACAGCAGCAGATGATCTGTCACCTTTGACCTTTAGCCTGGTGCTGCACAACCAGTAGGCTTTGGTCACTGGACCTCAGGGACCTGCTGGGGGTGTAGGGACTAAGAAGATCACCAATGTAAGATGGTGCTTGTCCATGTAAGGCCCTATAGACCAGAACCAGGATCTTGAAATGAACCCTGAAGTTGACTGGCAGCCAGTGAAGCTGGAGGAGAAGCGGGGTGATGTGGGTGTGTTTGGAGGACTTGGTCAGAAGCCGAGCACAGGCGTTCTGAACCACCTGTAGACGGTTCAGGGAGGTTCTGCTCAGACACGTGAAAAGAGAGTTACAGTAAGCAAGCGGGTGGATTACAGCGTTCTTAAAGTAAGCAGGGACCTGACCAGAGACCAGAGAAGCATTAATTATAGAGAGCACGCTGGGACCGATGGACTGAAAAGCACTTTTAAACAAAGATGAGGGTAAGATGTGGAGGGGGCATGCAGAGGTCTTCATAGAGTTAACTAGTTTGGTTAACTCAGGCAAAGAAACAGGAGCAAAGCTATCTAGGATGATGGGCCTGGTTGGAGTCGGGAGAGGCGGCGATAAGGCTGAAGGAGAGATGCTAGATCTAACCTTATTGACTTTGTCCACAAAGAAAGACAGAAAGTTCTCACAGTCTGTAACAGAGTGGATGGAGGCTGTAGGAGAGGCAGGAGAGACGATGCTGCTGATGGTGTTAAACAGCACCTTGGGGTTCCCTTTGCTCTGGGACACCAGGTTGGAGAAATAGGAAACCCTAGCGTCTCTGACTGCAGAGTTAAAGGATGTCAGAAGATCCTTTAGGTGCAGCAGATGGACGTGGAGACATGGTGAGCAAATACAGTGCAGTCATTCAAAGGCTGATGAAAACATGAAGGTTTTAATTTAGATGTAAAAGTTTCTAGAGGTGGAGTATGGCGACATTGTGCTGGCATAATAAAATGTTATGTGGAACCTGCGTCTTGTTGCTTATTTCTTCTGAGTGTAAAACCTCCTGGATGCTGGGACCTCCGGTATGCCAGCTCGTGGGGTACGAGTTGCGCTCCTCTCTTCTTTTCTCACTCTATTAATCGTTTCCAAACCACAAACTAAGTATCGACCGTTGAATATCTCTCTACAGATGTGTTTCCCAACCCTGGTCCTCACGCCACACTGACCTGAATGTCTTCCATGTCTCTGCTTCAGCACACCTCCTGTCTCCTCAGGACATCAAGTGCTGCAGACGCCTGTTCATCACTCACTCACTTAGGTCAGGTGTGTGGCAGCAGGGAAACACTGGTGTTTGACAGGGTAACACATGCAGGACAGTGTGCTCTGATGACCAGGGTTGGGAAACACCACACTACAGCATTTAAGGCTGCTGACTGATCCAAACTACAAGTGACCTACTCACCCACGGACCTCTGGATGGGAGGAAACTTGATAGAAATGGGTCGGTGGAGAAGGAGGCGCTCTGAACACCTGTTTATGTTGGGTAAAAAAAAGCGATAAAGTGAATAAATTGCCAAGAATACCCCGACATTTAAATTCAAGTCTGTTGATCCGATCGGTTAACCGTTGAACGTCATCACTGATTAAACAAGTTCTAGTTTACTGGAGGAAAGCCGTTTAGGTCAGTGCTGATGTTCAGGGCTCAAACTGAAGAATAAAACAGAGACGGGTCACAACTCCACACCTGAAGTTACCGGAGGATAACAGCTGTATCTTCAGCGGTTATGGTCCGTCTGACCCGGCCAGACGACTCCCAAACTTCTCTGGTAAAAAATAAAAGTCTGAAAATTCCCCTTCAAGAACGGCAGTGAACTGTGTGTGTGTGTGTGTGCGTGTGTGTGTTTCTACTCAGAACTAAAATATAACTAAAGTGGTAAACGGCCTGTATTCATATAGCGCCTTCTAGAGTCCTGGAACCCCCAAGGTGCTTTCCAACAGTCATCCACCCATTCACACCCTGGTGGGGATGAGCTACGATGTAGCCACAGCTGCCCTGGGGAGGTGGGGCCGCGGAGCTCTGGTACCACCAGTCCCTCCGGCCACTACCACCAGGCAAGGAGGGTCAAGTGTTTTGCCCAAGGACACAACAGAGAACAGACTGAGCGGGGTTCGAACCTGCAACCTTCTGATTACGGGCAACCGCCACCCCCGCAAATATAAACACAACACTTTGGTTTTGCTCCCATTTTTCATGAGCAGAACTCAGACATGTACAGCCATGACTCACGTTCTGAAATCTGTCTACACGTATGTTAGTGAGCACTCCTTTATTAAGATAATCCATCCCCACCTCACTTTACTGGCCAAGACAGCAGCAGCAATGATCAACACACAACCCGTTTCCACACCGGGACTCAAAAGGACATTATTACATGTTAACTTCCCGATCCCGATGGGATACTTTTTGTTTTCTGGATGATTGTTTGCTGCTAAAATCACCCGCGATCCTCCGGCAGCTACAAGCTCCGTGTGAGCTTCGGCTTCCCTAGCTCCAGGTTAGCTTCGTTAGCTTAGCACCTAGCCTCGGGGTCAGCTAGCTACATCGGTTCTGTTTCATGGGCGTGTTCCTACGCTGACAGCACCGCCCTCAGCGACACCTCTTTGCCCATTTTTGGATTTTTCGGTAGTGACGACACAACTACACGAAGTGCACGGAGTACACGGCCAAGACGTAGCTGGAGAGGCGGGCTTTAGCCTTTTGTGTGCATCACGTGACCATGTTCCTGGAAAGTTCCTGCCTGGAACTGTTTCTGTTGTGTTTACGGTGATCTCGGTTATCAAGCGTGCGGCAGGCGGCTGGCCCAGTTCGTAGACAACGGTTCGAACCAGAATTTCAGCTGCTGTCGGTGTCTCCGGAGCACCGGGACGGACGGAAGAGAGCGGCGGGGACCTGCGAGATCCGCTTTTTCCGCCATTTGTCCTTCGAGGAAAGTCGGGGGGACCGGGAGGCTAACCGGCCGGGATTGGAGCCCCCCGACGGGCTTTTGTGGACTCCACTAGGTCATATGACGGAATGTTCCCGGGACTCGCAGGTTAGCGGCTAGTCGGGACTCGGAAACTCCCAGGTGGGTCCGGTTTGGTCCACATGTGTCCTATAGGAGAATCCAGGTGTGTTTCAGGTGAAGCGCGGCTCACATCAAACTCCGACAGAAAACAAACGTTTCAAACCGAATTTAAACGCGTCACGCTCGTGACGTCACTCCAACAGAACCAGAGTTTCTGCTGCAGGTTTAATAATCCGAGCCCAGCTTTATTTAACGTGTCCTGCAGGTGTCCACATGTCCTCGGTCCAGCTGCGACTCTGACGCAAAGGTGTCTGCCTTCAGCTGCTTTAATGGTAAATACTAAAGTAGAAACCATTAGAAACACGTTTCTTATTTTGGTTTCAACGGGCTTTTATTTTGGAAGGCTCTATCAAGAAAGAAAAATCTTCCTGTTAGTTTATTATAAACAATTCAGGTAATTGTGATTAGACGTGTGTAACCCAGGACAACAGATTCAGTAATGAATGATTTTATTTTCTTTAACATTTTTATTTTTTTAATTTAATGATGATATTTTAGTGACTTAATTTCAATCTGATCGTTTTAACAGCTTCTGTTATTGATAAACACCAAGATCCAGGTTTTATTCTACAAACTCAGCTGAGTTTATTTTAATCTTTTGTCTGATTCTGTAGATTTTAAAGAAAATAGGGATTCCCGATACAACGTTTTCACTTCCAATACAATACCGATATCAATCTGATACGATACCGATATCAATCTGATACGATACCGATATCAATGCGATGCCGAAACCTATTTGATACGATGCCGATATCTATCCGGTGCGATGCCGATATCTATTTGATGCGATTCCGAAACCTATCCGGTACAATACCGATATCTATCCGATACGAAGCCGGTATCATTCCGATACGCTACCGATATCAGACTTCACTGTTTCATAGTGTGGATGAAAGGCTTGATCAAGTGATCTAGTATGAGAAAAAGGACATTGATTGCACAGATGTGAACCTTAACGGATCGCCGATATCGGAGACTTGTGAGTCAGTCCGATATAATCCGATAGTGTTTTGGGGCCGATATCGGAACGGGACATCTCTAAAAGAACATTTCAATTCAACTTTATTTCATACAAACTTTCACAAGTCCTAAAATCTTTTAGAGAAGTTTCTATTGAAATGACATTTTTAAATTCAGGTGAAACTGAATGAATCCGGTGATTAGTCTCGTTTTGAAAGTGTGTTTTCTGCTGATTCTTGTTTAATTAGCAGAACTGAAGCTGTGAACATGAAAATGAAAAACAAACGATGGAATCAATATTTAGTTTTATCATCATATGATGGTTTTTCAGAGGGAATATTATTATTATTATTATTATTGAGGAGGTTTAAGTAGAAAACTAGAATCTTTTGATCTCATTTATTTTAAAAGCAGAGGCTGAGTTTTTATCTTTAGGTGTTTTAAACGTTGGACCCAAACCCAGAAGAACCCTAAACTGAACCTGACCATTTGTTCTCAGGAGTTCTGAGGCTGCTGGTCCCGTGGAGCCCCTGCATGTCTGGACTCTGGGCCTAGAACCAGGCTGAAGGTAGGACCTGTCCAATGACCTGCCAGTCCTCTGAAGCCATCGAGGACGAGCGACGAGCCAGCGGCAGCAGCACTGGCATCTGTACCGTGGAATCAGATGAGAGTGGGATGGCCTCCACCATGAAGGACCTCAGAAACACAGGTGGGTCCTCACCTGTGGACCTCTAGCTGCTAAATAACTCATAAATGTGGAATGACCTTCCAAGTGTGGCGAGCAGGGCCACTTATCAACTTAGAAACAACGCCACCTGATTATCAGGAACCAAAACGACTGAAACTAAGGCACATTAGTTCATTTTTACAAATCAAGCTTGAGACGGAGTTCCATTCCACACAAACAGATTTTATTCAAAGAATAAAATGAGTTTAAAATAATCTAAAAACACCATGCACCTGCAGATCAACACTGCTTAAAACCACATCAACTTAGGCTGAGGCTGACTAATGGGGCTGCCTAAGAGAGCCCAGAACTAAATACCAACCACAAGTAATTTCACCCCAATCACACGTGCATGCATTCGGGGGGTGAAGTGACTCTGGAGCACACGCACACCATCAAAAGGACCACCACCAGGGCTCGACCACCACTGTCAGCTCACAGCCTAAATGAAAAGAAAACAGAAAACAGTAAAAATCCAAATCCACACATACACATACACACACGCACACACACACACACACACACACACACACACACACACACACACACACACACACACACACACACACACACACACACACACACACACACACACACACGTGACTGAGCAGGCAGGCCGTCAGGGAATGAGCGAGCATACAGCTCGCCTGCACACAAGTCTATTAGCCTGAGCCTCAGCCGTCCTTATGAGCTCCCGGGCAGACGACAACTGCCGGTAGGGCCCGCAGCCCCTCGTTAGAATACCCAACCCCACAGCGGGTGTACGCCCTCCGCTGGTATACGGTACAGAGGAGCGAGTGACAAAGCCGCTCCCAATGGTCTCCGCTGATCCCGTCAACCAGTCCGAGCAGCGGGGTGGAGAGGTCTTGGAGCCGGATGATGGTCCAGCACCGGGTCAACAACCGGTAACAGAGATCTCACGAAACTGTGCAGAAAAGCAGCAGAACAGCAGAACAACAGAGTCTCCTGTGGAGACACACCCCTTCCTGGATCTGGAAGACACATTAATTAGTCTTATCCTAAAGCCACAGCTAAGTGGAGAGGAGCGCAGATGTACATACCACTTCTTTGAAGCACATAGGATAAACGAAGCCTTCCGTTAATCTGGGAGGACCACATACAACAATTCCTGTGGCAGGAGCAGCCAATAAACACCAGACTCCATGCAACTACTGCAGCGTTTTTAAATAGTACTCACAGTCCGACACGCCGGAGTCCCGTACACAACAGCTCTTCACACAGGAAGCGGAAGTTAAGCCAAAGTAAAAGATCGCTGTAGCGCCACCTCAGGCCCTATTTATATGAGCGCCTTCCCTCAATGATAGGTCGTCCAATTACTCGGTGGCAGGTGACTCATCCCACTACACAAGCACTACAAGAAACTCCTGAAGACCCTGCTCTTCAGAGAGCATCTTCTTAACTAGCACCCTCCCTGCACCCGTCCCCCTCTCTACCGTCCACTCCTTGTTCCCTCCTCTCCATGACTGATGTCACGTTGTTGTTGTTGTTGTTGTTGTTGTTGTTAGCCTCAAGGGCAACATGCCGATTATCACTTGTAAGTCTCTTTGGACAAAAGCTAAATACATAAACAGAGTGAGAGAAAACTAATTCATTCATTATAAACACTCCCAGTACCAAACATTGGTACCATTACGCTCCCGTATCGATTCCTAGGTACCGGGATTCTGTACCGAATCGATTCTGATGTGAAGGTACCCATCCTGCTCCGAAGGCTCGGGCCACAGCTGGTTAAACAAGTCGGGTCAGAACTTTAGAACCTTGTTGAGATTCGGTTCAGTTCTAGACTTCGACCCACATTCATGCAATTCTCCCTAAACACAAAAAATCAGAACATTGATGTGGTACCATCCAGAACCAGCAGAACTTCTGCCAGAGGCAGCGTCTCGGCTCTGATCTGCTGATGCCGCGGTTCTGCACTAAATCGGGTTTTGGTACTGATGGATTCTTGGAATGTTTTCTGTGTAGGTGATGCTGATGTGAGCCGTTTGACGAAGTTCTGGTCTCTGTGCTGACAGGATGGTACTGGGGCGGTCTGACTGCTAACGGGGCCAGGGAGGTTCTGCAGGACTGGTGCGAGGGGGCGTTCCTGCTGCGGGACAGCTCCCAGAGGGACTTCCTGTTCACCATCAGCGCCATGACCTCAGCCGGCCCCACCAACCTGCGCATCGAGTACAAACACGGGAAGTTCAAGCTGGACTCGGTGGTTCTGATCAAACCCAAACTCAAGCAGTTCAGCAGCGTGGTCCACCTGGTCGAGCACTATGTCCAGCTGTCCAGAACCAGCGAGGCGTCTCCAGCTCCAGTGCTGGGGCCGCCCAACAGGACCGTGCAGCTGCTCCTCACCAAACCCGTCTACATGGCTGTGCCATCGCTGCAGCACCTCTGTCGCGTCGCCGTCAACCGGACCAGCCAGCAGGTCCAGAACCTCCCCGTCCCCAACAGACTGAAGGACTACCTGGCAGACTATGTCTACAGCGTGTAGAGAGAGCAAGGCATGATGGGAAGCTGAGCCGTGGCATGGGCCAACAGGAGGTCCAAACGGCCCGGTAACCAGCATGAAACCTGGTTCTCTACCTGAGTAGAACCTGAACCGGGTTCTGCTAGAACCTTCTCGTGGAGACAGAACCAACTGGTGATTGGCCATTCGGATCAGAACCGATCCATCAGCAGCAGCTTTACTGGAAGTCGTACCTGAGCAGGTGTTTATGAAGGACTCTCCTCCTGGAAGATGGACTCGCTGGTTCCTCATGCTCTGGAGCTGGGTCGGGTCGGAACATTTTACAGTATTATCTTATGTGTCTTCTCATTAAACCTGTGATCATGGAGCTGTTCTCAGGTGGTTCTGAACCCGGTGGGTCCACCTGGACGCAGCACATCTATTTATTGTTTTGGTTTCAGAGCTTCGCTCCAAAATTAGGAGTGCTGATCTAAATCGGACCTGTCCTGGTCCGGTCCGTGTGCCGCACATGAAGAATCTGACTGTTTCAGGTGTTTCTGTAGGGAGGCTGAGCCCGCTTCCTGGTGGGACGATGCTGTTTAACAGCAGCGGCCTGGGGAGGAGTTGTTGTCATGACGTCACCGCTGACGGGGGTGTAGCGGTTCACGGGGTGGGGGGGGGGGGGGTTGAACCGTTTTGGTGCAGCCGGCTCAGTTCGGTCCACTTGCGTACCATTTCGGTTTATTTTCCACGTTAAATGATGAATTTTTACCTGCGTGATGTGAGTGCAGCAGGTAAAAGCTCCTAGGTGAGTTTCTGCACAGGCGCTGTACGGAGTAATGCGTGATGGCTGCTCGCGCTCGATCGCCGTTTAAAAAATGTGATCTGCTAATTCTGATGAACGCCTTTAAGAGCGACTCAAAACAGCTGCTGCTGCTGCTGCTGCTGGAGCTGCTGCTGCTGCTGGAGCTGCTGCTGCTGTTGCTGCTGCTGCTGGAGCTGCTGCTGCTGCTGCTGGAGCTGCTGCTGCTGCTGCTGCTGTTGCTGCTGCTGCTGGAGCTGCTGCTGCTGCTGCTGCTGTTGCTGCTGCTGCTGGAGCTGCTGCTGCTGCTGCTGCTGTTGCTGCTGCTGCTGGAGCTGCTGCTGCTGCTGCTGGAGCTGCTGCTGCTGGAGCTGCTGCTGCTGGAGCTGCTGCTGCTGCTGCTGCTGTTGCTGCTGCTGCTGGAGCTGCTGCTGCTGGAGCTGCTGCTGCTGTTGCTGCTGCTGCTGGAGCTGCTGCTGCTGCTGGAGCTGCTGCTGCTGGAGCTGCTGCTGCTGCTGCTGGAGCTGCTGCTGCTGCTGGAGCTGCTGCTGCTGCTGGAGCTGCTGCTGCTGGAGCTGCTGCTGCTGGAGCTGCTGCTGCTGTTGCTGCTGCTGCTGGAGCTGCTGCTGCTGCTGGAGCTGCTGCTGCTGGAGCTGCTGCTGCTGCTGCTGGAGCTGCTGCTGCTGCTGGAGCTGCTGCTGCTGCTGCTGGAGCTGCTGCTGCTGCTGGAGCTGCTGCTGCTGGAGCTGCTGCTGCTGGAGCTGCTGCTGCTGGAGCTGCTGCTGCTGGAGCTGCTGCTGCTGCTGCTGGAGCTGGAGCTGCTGCTGCTGGAGCTGCTGCTGCTGTTGCTGCTGCTGCTGGAGCTGCTGCTGCTGGAGCTGCTGCTGCTGGAGCTGGCTGCACAACTTTAATCATCTTCAACCTTCATCTTCATTTCAACACAAGTGAAACAAAGTTCCTGATCTTCTACCGTGTTACCACCCTAGTGTTGTTTCTAGAGCCCTGCACTGAAGCCCCAGGCCTGCGGGTCGGGCCGGCCCGCGGGCCTGGGGCTTCGGGCTGACGACTGTGTAATCACCTCGGACAAGGGCCGGGCCGGGCGCCTTTATTTTTAATGGAATTCATAAAAAAGCTGAAACACTTGAACGCAGCAGCACCTGCCTGCTTCTCACGCACCGTTAGCTCAGTTAAGGTGTGTGTGGTTTATAATATAATATAAATGAATTCTCAAACAGCTGACTGAAACATGTGCTCCTGTTCTAATACGACATCTTATGTCCACTTTGATGTCAGAAACATTCGTTTATCCTCATGAAAACGGCAGCGTTCTATTCTTCTGTGAGTAAATTCGCTCTGCAGTTTGAAAAAATACAACATTCATTGCTGGTTTGTTTTTTTCTAACTGCGAGCGCATTTTCAGAGCGGCAGATTAAATTTACAAACGCTGTATTAACTGGGAACGTTTATTTCATCCGCCGCTCTGAAAACGCGCTCTGCAGTTAGAACATTAGAATGCTGCTTTTTTTTCTAACTGCACAAGAGCGCGTTTTCAGAGCAGATTAAATTTACAAATGCATCCAATTAATATAGCGTTCGTACATTTCATCTGCCACTCAGAAAATACGCTGTTAGAAAAAAAGCTGCATTGATGCTGTTTTTCTGTCTTTTATTTCTTTTTTTTTTTTTTTTACTGCAGAACGTTTTTCACAGATAATCAGAACGCGGAGCGTTCTATCATGCTAAAACATCATGAAAGGTTAAAGAAAAGTCGGGCTCGGGTCGGGCCAGAGAATCCTGAAAACCTTCTTGGACCGGGTCGGGCATGGGCTCCACCCCCTCGGGCCGGGCCGGACACGGGCTCAGAGGCCCGTGCAGGACTCTAGTTGTTTCCCTGGATGGTACAGAACTACAGCGTGTCAGTTCCTATAAGTATCTGGTATCTGACTTGAGAGCACACTTTCATCTGACGTTCACATGAACTCATTACTTTCTAAAGTCAAGTCTAGAACTGGGTTTCTATAGCAACAGGTCATCCTTTACTCATTCTGCAAAGCAACCCTTGGTCAAAACGACGATCCTTCCATTTTAGATGACGGTGACATCATTTATAGGACCGCTACCTAAAAACTTCTTCATGAACTCGATGTCATTCATCACTCAGCAACCCGTTTGGTCACTGGTGCTCCTTTCACTACTCGTCATGTGATCTGTACTCACCCGTTAACCAGCCTTCACTCCTGCAGGATGTTACACCGGTTAGGGTTAGGGTTACCTTCACCCGTCATATCTGCTCTCATTACTCATCACCTTGTAACGTTTTGTACGCGGTTCCTTTTAATAGATTACCAACAGAATATAAAGGTGTTCAATAAAATATAATATTCCACAAAACATGGATTACCAATATTATTGATCCTCTAATATGATTGATGATGAAACTGGGTAGTTTGGTTAATCCAGGGAAACAACACTTTATAATAATCTGACTCAGAGACAAAAATATAGTTTATAAAATCTATTTATGACTACATGAATGATGATGAAAGGCTAATGATTATAAGTGGTGACACAGTGATGTTAAATGAGACCATGAATGAACGGATGAAACATGACCTGGTGTGTTTAAGGGTTTCTAAGTGACTCAGAAAGGCGTGATGTCTGGTTTATTAAATAATCTGGATGTTTGCTTTAATGTCATTTAACAAGTTATCAGATTAACACTGACCGCTCTGACACCGTTGTTTACTCCACACACCCTGGATCATGGAGCTCTGGAGATCCGGTCTGCAGGTGAAGCCGTCTCTCAGAGCGAGTGAGTGGACTTCTGATGCATCTGAAGGTCGTAGACGCCCTCAGCAAACGCACGACTGGTCAGAAGATACTTCCCAGGTGGCTTCTGGTGGATGTCTCATGTCTGATGAGTGGGTGGTGGGTGAGTAAATAATAGTTGTTGGTTCAGAAGGACGGTTCATGTGCTGCTGAAAGTATTCCACTGAAACATCTGGTTGGTTCTCCATAGGATGGTCCTTTAGCATGAGCTGTGAGCTCTGGATGAACTCAGGCTGGAACTGGGGAAGTAGGAAGTGATTCACTTTTAATCAAATGGTTGTTTATGAACTTGGACCAACCAGATGTGAGAAACGTGTCTAGGGAGCCGAAGTCACTTCCGCATCACCGGTCCCCGGAACAACGATAAAACGAACACAAGTCAGCGGGCTAAAACCCCGCTCTGCCTTACGCCCTGGATCACACGTTGTTCAGCAACTTCAGTGAAAAGTACCGATGGTGTTTCGACCACGCCAGTCACGTACTAGTAACGATGGTGTTTCGACCACGCCAGTCACGTACTAGTAACGATGGTGTTTCGACCACGCCAGTCACGTACTAGTAACGATGGTGTTTCGACCACGCCAGTCACGTACTAGTACCGATGGTGTTTCGACCACGCCAGTCACGTACTAGTACCGATGGTGTTTCGACCACGCCAGTCACGTACTAGTAACGATGGTGTTTCGACCACGCCAGTCACGTACTAGTACCGATGGTGTTTCGACCACGCCAGTCACGTACTAGTAACGATGGTGTTTCGACCACGCCAGTCACGTACTAGTAACGATGGTGTTTCGACCACGCCAGTCACGTACTAGTAACGATGGTGTTTCGACCACGCCAGTCACGTACTAGTACCGATGGTGTTTCGACCACGCCAGTCACGTACTAGTACCGATGGTGTTTCGACCACGCCAGTCACGTACTAGTAACGATGGTGTTTCGACCACGCCAGTCACGTACTAGTACCGATGGTGTTTCGACCACGCCAGTCACGTACTAGTACCGATGGTGTTTCGACCACGCCAGTCACGTACTAGTAACGATGGTGTTTCGACCACGCCAGTCACGTACTAGTACCGATGGTGTTTCGACCACGCCAGTCACGTACTAGTAACGATGGTGTTTCGACCACGCCAGTCACGTACTAGTACCGATGGTGTTTCGACCACGCCAGTCACGTACTAGTAACGATGGTGTTTCGACCACGCCAGTCACGTACTAGTACCGATGGTGTTTCGACCACGCCAGTCACGTACTAGTACCGATGGTGTTTCGACCACGCCAGTCACGTACTAGTAACGATGGTGTTTCGACCACGCCAGTCACGTACTAGTAACGATGGTGTTTCGACCACGCCAGTCACGTACTAGTACCGATGGTGTTTCGACCACGCCAGTCACGTACTAGTAACGATGGTGTTTCGACCACACCAGTCACGTACTAGTACCGATGGTGTTTCGACCACGCCAGTCACGTACTAGTACCGATGGTGTTTCGACCACACCAGTCACGTACTAGTAACGATGGTGTTTCGACCACACCAGTCACGTACTAGTAACGATGGTGTTTCGACCACGCCAGTCACGTACTAGTAACGATGGTGTTTCGACCACACCAGTCACGTACTAGTAACGATGGTGTTTCGACCACGCCAGTCACGTACTAGTACCGATGGTGTTTCGACCACGCCAGTCACGTACTAGTAACGATGGTGTTTCGACCACGCCAGTCACGTACTAGTAACGATGGTGTTTCGACCACGCCAGTCACGTACTAGTAACGATGGTGTTTCGACCACGCCAGTCACGTACTAGTAACGATGGTGTTTCGACCACGCCAGTCACGTACTAGTAACGATGGTGTTTCGACCACGCCAGTCACGTACTAGTAACGATGGTGTTTCGACCACGCCAGTCACGTACTAGTAACGATGGTGTTTCGACCACGCCAGTCACGTACTAGTAACGATGGTGTTTCGACCACGCCAATCACGTACTAGTAACGATGGTGTTTCGACCACGCCAGTCACGTACTAGTAACGATGGTGTTTCGACCACGCCAGTCACGTACTAGTAACGATGGTGTTTCGACCACGCCAATCACGTACTAGTAACGATGGTGTTTCGACCACGCCAGTCACGTACTAGTAACGATGGTGTTTCGACCACGCCAGTCACGTACTAGTAACGATGGTGTTTCGACCACGCCAGTCACGTACTAGTAACGATGGTGTTTCGACCACGCCAGTCACGTACTTGGGCTAAAGCACTTTGGAGTGCTTGACTAACAAGTGTAGGTCCTTCATCATTCATCCTAATTAATCTAAACATTCCAGCTGAAAAACTTCAGTTCACCTTCTTCCAAATGAAACATTGCCCGACCTTTCCGGGCCCCTCGGTCCTGCTTGTACAAAGGAGCTGTGGAGGGATCTGATTGGCTGTTGGGCAGCCGTGACCGCCTGTCGGGTTCCTGGATGACTTTCTGCTCTGAAGAACAAACAGATGAGCTGCCAGTGAAACAGACGTCAGTGGCGTGGCGTGGATGAGGAAGGCAGTTTGACCCCTTTGGGCTCTGGTAGACTTTGACCTTCTGCTCTAGAGTCTGTTGCTTTGAGCCAATCAGATCGCAGGAAAACCTCAAACAGAAGAGCTGTTGTTGCTTCTGGGTTTAAAGTTCATGACAAAACCCATTTTCATCTAAAATAACCTGAGTTAAGCGCTTCGATCAGAGTAATTCATGACAGATTTAGTCGTCTGCTTCAGCTGAAGTGACTAGAGTCAGGAGGTGTCTGGCAGGTAAAAGGGGGCGTGTCCTGGTGGTCCCTACCTGTAAGGCTCAAAGAAAACCATTGCATTGTTTTATTTATTGATTAATTTGTGATTTAGGAGTCACTCGGCCTTCCCGGCTGACACCGATTCATCAGACATTCTTCTGTTTGAACTGAAGGAAACAGACGAAATCAGTGGTTCCAGCGTGTCACTGAGGGGCAGAGGGGTTAAGGGCCCACCCCTTAGCCAGAGGGCTGCCGGTTCCAGCCCCGTCTGTCGCACTTTGCCCTCCCTACCTGCTGGTGGTGTTGGAGGGACCGGTGAGGCCTGTGCTTGGCGGCCTTGCCTCTGTCAGAGCGCCCCAGGGCAGCTGTGGCTATGATGCAGCTCATTCCCACCAGGGTGTGAATGGATGAATAAGGGTTCATGTTATAAAGCACCTTGGGGGGAGAACCCAAGAGGACAAATACAAATAGAGGCCTCGTTACTAACAGCTTTAAATTGGACTTAAGGTGGTGACAAAGTAGTCGACGCAGAAGGGGTCTCACACTTAAAAGGAACAACAGCAGATATTGAGAATGCATACAAACACAATGGTATCCCACAAGCAAATGCCAACCTCAATGAGGCTGCAAGGAAAGGAGCCACATCCAAATACCTACGAGTTAGACTAATCCCAACAAGTCAGCTCCATGGCGAGAACAATATTCTGGCAATTAATCACATATACTGCATGAATAATAAGCTGGCCGAAGGAAGGAATTCAGATCAGATGTTAAGGCATGACAGTTCCTAACCATGCATGGAGGGTTCCATCCCAAGTCCAGCACCCTGACACTGTACACTAGCCGTAAGGAAGGAGGCCAAGAACTAGAAAGTGTGAGAGCCACTGTCCAGGATGAGACATCTAAGATTCATAAGTACATCAAGGATAAGGCCCCAACAGATGATGTTGTCAGTCAATGACGAACAGAGTAGGAGGCGCTTGAAATACCGTCTTGTGAGGAAAAACCCTACATTGACAGATAACTGAAGTGGTTGGTGAATAAATCATACTAATAGCTAGAAAGAGCTGGTCTGAATTAACAGCAGCAGGCCCTGAACACCAGAGCAACAGATGCCAAGATCTACCACACCAGACAAGGCTCAAGGTGTAGGCTATGCAAAGAGGCCCATGAGACAATCCACCAAATAACTGCAGGGTTTAGGATGATGGCAGGGGAAGCATACATGGAACAACACAACCAATTGTACAGGAACATATGTGCAGAGTATGGACAGGAAGGCCCATGGTCAAAGTGGAAAACACCCCCCAAGGTTGTAGAGAATGAACGAGCCAAGCTCCAGTGTGACTTCCAGATGCAGACCGAAAAAATGGTGATGGCAAAACAAACACACATTTTGATGGTGGGCAAACAACAGAGGACAGCAGTTGAGGTTTATGTAGCAACACCAAGTGATAGAAAAGTCAAGAAAAAGGAACACGAGAAACTAGAAAAGTACCAGAACTTCAAACCCTTTGCCTTCAGAACTGCCTTAATCCTTCATGGCATAGAATCAACAAGGTACTGGAGTTTTTCCTGAGATTTGGTCCATTCTAACATGATAGCATCACACAATTGCTGCAGATTTGTCACCTGCACATCCATGATGCAAATCTCCCATTTCTCCACATCCCCAAGGGTGCTCTATTGGATTGAGATCTGGTGACTGTGGAGGCCATTTGAGTACACTGAACTCATTGTCATGTTGAACAAACCAGTTTAAGATGATTCAAACTTTATGACATGGTGCATGGCCCTGCTAGAAGTAGCCATCAGAAGATGGCTACACGGTGGTCATAACGGGATGGACCTGTTCAGCAATAACACTCAGGTAGGCTGTGGCATTGCAACAATGACTATTAAGTACTAAGGGGCCCAAAGTGTTCCAAGAAAATGTGCCCCACACTATTATACCACCACCAATAGCCTGAACCATTGATACAAGGCAGGATGGATCCATGCTTTCATGTTATCGATGCCATATTCTGACTCTACCATCCGAATATCTCAGCAGAAATCAACACTCATCAGACCAGTCAACATTTTCCTGATCTTCTACTGTCCAATGTTGTTGAGCCTGGGTGAACTGGAGTGGCACCCAGTGTGGTCTTCTGTTGCTGTAGCACATGTGCCTCAAGGTTTGACATGTTGTGCATTGAGAGATGCTCTTCTGCATAACTTGGTTGTAATGAGTGGTTATTTGAGTTACTGTTGCCATTCTATCAGCCTTGAACCAGTCTGGTCTGGCCATTCTCCTCTGACCCCTGGCATCAACAAGGCATTTTTACTCAAAGAACTGCCGCTCACTGGATGTTTCCCCTTTTTCCGACCACTCTCTGTAAACCCTTCATATAGTTGAGTGTGACAATCCAAGAAAATCAGCATTTTATTAAATACAGTATTTTCCGCACCATAAGGCGCTATTAGAAACCTTTGATCTTCCCCTGAACCAGCAGTGCGCCTTATATACATGTATTATGGACATAAGTGAAGCCAGCTACACCTGCGTCCGCAGGAAAACAAAGAGCCGGCCAGTAGCACCGCCCACCCTCACCAAAAAAAAGGTGTGGCACTGCTCCACACAGGTACACCGGTAACCAGCTATGGCACCAGCGAAGAGACACGCTAATGAGGCAGGGTTCAAGCTCAGAGCCATCGCTCACGCCATTGAGCATGGAAACAGAGCAGCAGCAAGAGAATACAACATTAACGAGTCGATGGTCTGCAAGTGGAGAAAGTTGAAAGACCAGCTGGTACAGGTGAAGAAAACAGCGTAGCTTCAGAGGCAACAAGGCAAGATGGCCACTGTTTGAAGACCGAGTTGAGCAGTGGGTCGCAAAGCAGCGAGCAGAAGCGTCTCCACCGTCTCCATTCGTCTCACAGCTGCAGCATTAGCAGGAGAGATGGACATTGCGGACTTCATAGGAGAACCTTCCTGGTGTTTTTGCTTCATGTGGAGGTGAGCACTTTCTATCCGCACCAGAACCACTGTCTCGTAGCAGCTACCTGCCGACTACGCTGAGAAGCTAGAGTTGTTCCACTCCTATTGCACTAAGAAGATGGCAGACAAAAACATCCCGCCACAGCACATAATCAACATGGACGAGGTCCCGCTTACCTTCGACATCCCGATGAACCGGACCGTGGAGAAAATGGGGAACAGCACGGTGTCTGTGCGGACGACCGGCCACAAGAAGCCCTGCTTCACCGTCGTGCTCGAATGCCAGGCTGATGCCCAGAAGCTGCGGCCGATGGTCATCTTCAAGCGGAAAACTTTACCCAAAGAAAAGTTTCCCGCCGGCATGATCATCAAGGCGAACCCGAAGGGTTGGATGGACGAGGACATGATGGCGGCGTGGCTGCGGGAGGTGTACACCAAAAAACGGGACGGCTTCTTCCACACTTCTCCAGCCATGCTGATCTGCGACTTCATGCGGACCCATCTCACCGACGCCGTTAAAATCCAGGTGAAGATGAACACGGAGCTCGCCATCATACCGGGTGGATTAAGAACTCCAGCCGCTGGACGTCGGCGTGAACCGGTCCTTCAAAGCGAAAGTCCGAGCAGAGTGGGAGCGCTGGATGACTGCTGGCGAACACACGTTCACCAAGACGTGCAGGCAGAGCCGATCGACTTATGCCACCATCTGTAAGTGGATCGCTGATGCCTGGGCCAACGTTTCCGTCCAGACTGTTGTTCGAGCTTTCTTCAAGGCCGGGATCACAACGGGAGAGCCGAGCAACGACAGTGACATTGACTCTGACGGCGATGAGCCGAGCGCGCTGGGTTCAGTGCTGGGTCAGCTCTTCATGTCAGACATGGAGAATGAGGATTTTGAGGGATTTATGGACGAGGAATGAAAAAAAAATGTGAGTACCATACTTTTTTCCGATCCGAACAGGCAACAGCGCTCTGTGTGAAACTGGGACTTTAAATATGTTTATATTAATCATAAGCAAACAGTTGTGTTGCCGCTGTCTGAATGTGCGTCTTTGCTCCAGCCGTGCCTGCGCGTAAAAATGGGACTTTTGTTTGTTAAACGTCTGATTGTTCATTCTTGCTGCTTAAAGCATCCGTGCAAAAAATGACACTGACAATTACGAAATTGTTATTTTTACTGTGAATGAGAGGAATAAACTTTGATTTTGATCTAACTCCTTCGTTTGGCTTATTGTACCAATTATGCACTACTAGGTGGAGTGTTCAGTCAGCCATAACGTTACCAAATCTTCATTCTTGCTGCTAAAAGCACCCGTGCATTAAATTGGGACTAAATGTTACTTTAATAATGAGAAATTAATTTTTTTTACCATAGATAATGAGTGGAGTAATGTTTGACTTAGATCTAATTGCCCAATTTGTCATAAGTGTGCGCTCGTTTGCTTTGCTGGGTGCGCCCTATAATCAGGTAGGTCTTATGTGCGGACCAAACCTTTAACTAGGACACTGATTGACTGTGCACCTTATAATCAGGTGAGCCTAATGGGCTCGGCACACGGGAGGCGACATCGCCTCTCCATTCATTTTCAATGAGACATGCGCGACAAAGCGATAATCGCGGGTCTCTCTCCTACCAAGCGAAACGCGATAAACGTGTGTGTGAAATTTTGCACTCGTGCACGTGCCATGCACGGACGACCCAGTGACGCGATCCCACAAAGTTGAAACATTTTCAACTTTTCATCGCTGTCGCTCGGACGAGGACCAATCAACGGAGGTTTCATTCACTGACCAATGAGCGGACAGGATGCTCCTCCGAGCAAACATGGAGGAGAAGTTGATTATTATTATGTTTTATAATAAAATCAGAAGTAAGATTTCACATAACTCTAGCAGCACCTTGTGAAACATCATATCTACCGCTTTATTAACTCTGAACCGCTTAAATAACCTTAATTCCCTCCAACCTGACACAGCCAATCAAAACAATGGAAGTTTCGATTTCGCCATGGAACAGAACGCGTAGACGGCTTTGCCGCTGGCCGCTGCCACAGATCGCCTCCCGTGTGACAGGTAATAAAAGCGACGGCGACAAATTTCGCTGATCGCGGTCGTTTGTCGCCTCCCGTGTGTCGAGCCCATTATGGTGTGGAAAATACGGTACTCAGACTAGCCCATCTGGCACAGACAGCCATGCCAGATTAAAAGTCAATTAATAACCTTTCTTCCTCATTTTAAATCTCTGTTTAAACTGCTGCGAATCGTCTTGATCATATCAACATGCCTAAATGCACTGAGTTGCCACCATGTGGTTGGAAGATTAGAAATTTGCTTTAATGCGTTAAGTGGCCAAGGACTGTACGTCACACTGACAATTAGCATTCATGGTGTTAGCCATCTTCACTCACGATGGGGAAGGTTGTTGTTTTATTGTTCGGTAATCAACAGCGGACGTCACAGCTAGTAGAAGCTAACCGTTAGCAATAGCAACACCACCACACGGCAGAAGCTCCCTCAGTCATTTGTGGGTATAAAACATCCACGTTGCAAGCCAGTGGTAGAGTTGCTTTGCTGTTATAGAATCCGGGGAGAGATGACAAATAACAGGAAATGAGACTCCAGAACCTGCCGTATGAAGCTCATCTGTAAAGTGGGAACTTGTAGGTCTACAACACGGTGCACCGCTTTGTTCCCCCACCAAGATTAACTTACAAGGCATTAAATCCTCCTAGAGACCACTGTAAATGTATTAAATCATCCACTCCTTTAAATCATGGCAATTGCAAAAGAAACTTACGTTTCCAGTAGTAATTCTTAGTGGCAATAATAACAGTCTTTGCTTAATCAATACTTGGTCTGCCCACAGTTTTAAGGTTTATGCTCTTAGATTTCAAAGATAAGCTATGTGATCAACATTATTCCAGTTTGCTTGATGTGTATTTATTTATTTATTTTCTTATATTTCCTGTAGATTTTACTTACATCAACTTGTACTTCTTGTTCCACAATGACTCTCGACCTCTCTTCGATTCCACAACCAGATGTGGAGTTTTCATCTAATGAGGTGGTTTAGGAAAAAGACATTTCGTCTAGTGAACTCATATGTAAAACTCACTTGTAGGCACTTTCACACCAGATCGGTTTGTTTCACTTTCAACAGATTAGTGTTTTTCCTTTGGGAGTTGCTTCGCCTTGAGAAAGCGTGGCAAATGTAACCTGGCAAGGAAACCTTAATATGTAAATGTATAGTCTGGAAACAACCCATACAGGCCTTTTCAAATGACACTACATAGTAACTTGGATTAGTGCAGATCGGGCTGGTAACCTTTTCCAAAAACAGTTTTGTATTGTCGCTCCACCTTTTCTCAATTTTTGTAGTCCCTGCTCTGATGTAGTTACATGGGTTGAGTCGTGATTATTGGCAAACGATTTGCAAGGGTCTGCCTGCTGCCTGCAACCATTTCTTGGTTTAGAGTCTGACAAAAGGTCATTAAAACTGAGCAGAATGTTCTACATCACCACAATTGTTGTGCCGAGTTGTGTTTATGTGCATCATACAGGTCACCTCACACTATCTACTGATCCATCGATCATCGATTGGAACCGGTTCCAACTGTGCATTTTTCTCGCAGTCGTTCAAAGTTATTTATTTCAATTCCTAGTTTCGATTACTAGAATGCCGACGGAAGAGGAATCTGCGGCCGATCTCCATGAAAACTAAACATGATCTGTAAATTGTGATCAATGCTTTTCAGAGCTGATCACACCAGCTGTCAGTGTGCACCACGAGTCCCCCTCCCCCACCCAGATATAAACAAACGCGTCTGCCGAACTTTTACTCCGTAATGTAAACTTTAACTCCTGCAGCGTTGAGGAAACATTCATTTTATCTCCCTTTCCTTACATTTTTATCACATTTTTTATTTTATATATATTTTTAAAAATTTTAAATATTGTTTTTTGTTATTTTTTTGTGAAGCACTTGGTGATTTTTTTCTTGACAGACTGAAGCGTTTTACACAATATAGTTTTCTCTCGTTTCCAGTGAGAGGGGCATCACCGACATCCCGGCATGCATTGCGGTCGATGACGCAATGTTTAGCTGTCCCATATTTATTTGCACACTTGCGTTGCACGTCACTAGCACGCTCTCGAAGCCTTCAACACTTCCTCCTAGTGTTCTTGGCAGCAAGAGGACCCTAGGGCTCAGTGCGAGCCTTGGGATTGGGCCTGAGGATGGAGCGCGCGCACAGAGCCGTGCTCCGGAAGCTCCGGGTAGAAATGTCCGACCAGCTGCTGGTCAGCGATACCATCGTTCCGTTTCTGTACCAGGAGGACATTTTAACGGACGCACAGGTGGAGGAGATCGAGAATCAGGTAACAAACAGACAGAAAACCCTGAAGCTGCTGGAAATCCTGCCGACCCGCGGGCCTCGGGCCTTCCGCACCTTCCTGCGGGCCCTGCAGGACTTCAGCTGGGTCCGAGACAGACTGCTGCTGGAGCTCCAGGCTGCACCTGGACCTGCAGGTGAGTGAAGGCCGAGTTCAACACATAAATCCCGTTTTAAACCATTAAAGCTGCGCAGGACTGAACGGTCCTTCATTTTCTGGGTTTGTACTGGTCCTGGACTACAGGAGCTCTTAAAGGTTTTATTTTTACCCGTTTACTATAAATCCTGTTTCCGGTTCACAAACTTGTCCTTTTTCACTCATATGTCTCACCAACATCAATTCTAAATGTTCCTCTCAACTTTAAATTTTACATTTTCATCTACATAAACTGTGGGGTTTTATTGATTTATTAATTATTAATTTTTTATTTCTGTTTTTAAGATTTTACGAAAAGATTCCTGCGCATTTTGGATTTATATACAACGTTATTGACCAACAGCATCAAACAGTCCAGCAAAAGCGAGAAAGAAAAGATATAAATAAAAATACAGAGAAGAAATAAAAAATAAATAATAATAATAATAAAAAACATAATACGAGATTATATATCACCCAAGCACGTGTAATGCTTCAATTACACATTTTGTCTTAATCGCCTTTTTGTTGCTTGTAGAAGAGATTATATCTATATATGTTATTAATTCTACAACAAAAGGATTAAACAAAAGGTTCTCATGCATTACGTCACATTTGTGTATAAAAACTTTGAGAGAAACAGAATCAGATTGATGAAATAGAAAGCAGGAGAGGGTCTCGCATCATAGTCTGTTGTCCCAAATAAAGCATTTTTGAAACTCAACAGAAAGTCCACTTTAATAGTTCTTGAAATTAAAGTAGTGATTTCTTTCCTAAAGTTTTTGGTGACAGAACATTTCCAAAACAAGTGTAGTGTAGTCTCTGGGTACAGGTTACAGACGGAGCAATATATATTAATGTTCTGCTTAAATCTTTTATGAAGAAAATGCTTAGTTGGGTAGAATCTATGAATTATTTTAAGAGACTTCCTTCATTTTATTGGTAATCAAGAATATTTGCGGTAAAGTCCATATTCTTGTCCAGTTAGGATCTTGCCAGGAAGTGTTCCAGTAGCTAACACAGGATGGAATTGAAATGAGATTTTTTGTAATAATGAACGTATTTTGGAGTTAACAGGTTTTCCCTGCGTGATGAAGCAGAGTTTGCCTACAGGTGTTTGCTTAGGGTCTGTAGGGTTGTCTGGTCCAAATAGAGAGAAGTCAACTCCTTTAAACAACATAAGTATGCCTGTCAGATTGCCTGAAGTACAGTGCTGTATTCATTTAAGGTTACTGAAATTTTATACCTCTTTAGAAATTCTGAATAAGTACAAAAACAGCCTTCATTGTTAAGTAATTGGTAAACATTCAGAATAGCATTGCTAAACCAGTTATGGAAAAAATAAGGATTTGTTTTTGTACAAAATATTACAGCTATTCCAAATAAAGCATCTGTGTGGAGAAAAGTTATGTTTATATGCAAGGGACCATGCTAATAATACTAGCTGGTGGAAATTGGGTAGCTTGGTTGGTATTTTAGAGATATTGTAGTTGCATAGGAGGGTGAATTCTAGGCCACCAAGGTGTGAGAAATCATAGGTTGAGATAAAATTCCATATAGAGTTTGGATTTTTAAGATAGGCTCTAATCCACTTAATTTAAATGTATTATTGAGAGAGTCAAAGTCTAAAGTGTTAAGACCACCTTCCTTATCGTTATTTAAGACAATAGATTTACGTAAATAATGCGTTCTGTTCTTCTATATAAAATCCAACAACATTCGATCTGCAGATTTGATTATAGATTTGTCTACATATAAGAACTGGGAGGCATAAATTAACCTAGACAAGCCTTCTGCTTTAGTGAGCAATACTCTACCCTTCAAGGAAAGATCTCTTTGTAACCAACTATTGCATATTTTTCTGGATTTGTTGATTATTGGTGAAAAGTTATCGATACTTCTATTCTTACCATTTTTAGAAATATTCATACCAAGGTATTTAACAGAGTCTTTGACCGGGATGCCACAGATTGAAGAGTAGGGGCATTCTTTGATTGACATCAGCTCACATTTATTTATATTAAGAGACAGACCTGAGGCTTTAGTGAAAGATGCAATAGTATTGATTGCAGGGGAGATTTGTGAAATATTCTTTAAAAATAGAGCTGCATCATCAGCCAATTGACTTATAGAAATTGTTCGATTTGCAATGGCGATTCCTTGTACAGTACTGTTCTTAACTTGTATATTTAGAAACTCGGCTGCTAATAAGAAAAGGTATACAGAAAGTGGGCATCCCTGCTGAAGATTAAACCTAGGGGATGTACCTGTTGGGAGTTTTACTGAACTATTTCCACCTGCATATAAAGTTTTAACACCATTCGAGAAATAATCACCAAAACTTAATTTTTTAAGAGTAGTGAATACAAATTCATGCTCTATAGTATCAAACGCTTTACTAAAGTCCAAAAAGAGAATGAAACTGTTATCCTCTATAAATTCTAAATAATCTAGTATATCTATAATCAGCCTAAGATTATTAGAAATGTGACGATTTTTCATAAAACTAGATCGACATTCGTCAATAATTGAGTCACTTACTATTTTAATTCTGTTAGCTAAGACCAGAGCAAGTATTTTGTAATCACTGTTAAGTAAGGAGATTGGACGCCAGTTGTCTAACATTAGAGTCTTTATTTTGCTTAAGGTCAAGAGTAATGACTGCTTGATGCAACTTAGGGGGAAGTGTTGGTTTTTGAATGCTTTCCGTTTAAGCTGCCAGTAAAAATGGAGTTAAACTTTCAGAAAATCCATCCATCCCCAGGTCTCCCGGCTCTGGTTCGTCCTCGGAATGCGCGTAGGTGGGATTGAGGAGCTCCTCAAAGTATTCCTTCCACCGTCCGACTATAGCCCCAGTTGACGTCAGCAGCTCCCCATCCCCACTGTAAACCGTGTGAGCGAGTTGCTGCCTTCCTCTCCTGAGGCGCCGGACAGTTTGCCAGAACCTCTTTGGAGCCGATCGATAGTCTTTCTCCATGGCCTCACCAAACTCCTCCCATGCCTGAGATTTTGCCTCAGCAACTGCCACTGCTGCACCCCGCTTGGCTATGTGGTACCTGTCTGCTGCCTCCGGAGACCCACAGACCAGCCACGCCCTGTAGGCCTCCTTCTTCAGCCTGACGGCTCCCCGAACCTCTGGTGTCCACCAGCGGGTACGGGGGTTGCCACCACGACTGGCACCGGCCACCTTGCGACCACAGCTAGCAACAGCCGCCTCGACAATCGCAGAGTGGACCAAGGCCCACTCGGAGTCAATGTCCCCCACTGCTCTCGGGATGCTGTCAAAGCTTTGCCGGAGGTGGGAGTTGAAGACCGTCTTAACAGGTTCTTCTGCCAGGCGTTCCCAGCAGACCCTCACTATGCGTTTGGGTCTGCCAGGTCTACGTGGCATCTTCCCCTGCCATCTGATCCAACTCACCACCAGGTGGTGATCAGTTGACAGCTCCGCTCCTCTCTTCACTCGGGTGTCCAAAACATACGGCTGCAGGTCAGATGATACGACTACAAAGTCTATCATCGACCTGCGACCAACGCTGCCCTGGTACCAAGTGTATCGATGGGCATCCTTTTGTTCGAACATGGTGTTCGGTATGGCCAAACTGCGTATTGCACAGAAGTCCAATAACGAAACACCACTCGAGTTCAGATCAGGCGGGCCGTTCCTCCCAATCACATCCCTCCAGGTCAAGCTGTCATTGCACACATGAGCATTGAAGTCCCCCAGCAGGACAATGGAGTCCCCTGATGGAGCACTATCTAGTACTCGTGCCAGGGACTCCAAAAAGGGTGGGTACTCTGAACTGATATTTGGCCCATAAGCACAAACAACAGTCAGGACCCGTTCCCCGACCCGAAGGCGCAGGGAAGCTACCCTCTCGTCCCCTGGGGTAAACCCCAACACACTGGCTTGGGGCTAACAAAAAGCCAACCCCAGCCCTCTGCCTCTCACCCGGAGCAATTCCAGCAAAGGAGAGTGTCCAACCCCTCTCAAGGACTTGGGTTCCAGAGCCAATGCTATGTGTCAAGGTGAGTCCGACTATATCTAGCCGGTACCGCTCAACCTCTGCCACAAGCTCCTGCTCCTTCCCCACCAGCGAGGTGACATTCCATGTCCCAAAAACCAGTTTTCTTGTCCGGGTATCGGACCGCCAAGGCTCCGGCCTCGGTCTGCCACCCGATCCACATTGCACCGGACCCTTTATGTTCCTCCTGCGGGTGGTGGGTCCACAGTTGGATGAGCCCATGTATCCGGTTCAGGCTGGGCCCGGCCAGGCCCCATGGGCGAAAGCTCGGCCACCAGGCACTCGCTCACGGGCCCCAACCCCAGGCCTGGCTCCAGGGTGGGACCCCGGTAACCCTCTGGGCCGGGTACTCCGACTCTTTGAATTTACATCCATGAAAGATCCTGTGAACCGTTCTTTGTCTCACCCTTCACCAAAGACTGATTTGTCATGGGAGACCCTACCAGGAGCACAAAGTGCCCCAGACAACATAGCTCCTAGGATCATTAAGGCACTCAAACTCCTCCACCATGATAAGGTGACGGTTCAAGGAGGAGAAAGTCATTTCGATAATTTTTTTTAGGTGGCCATCTGTCCATTAAATTATTTAGAACAATATTGAAATCTCCTCCTGTAACTATGTTGCCATTTGGATATTTAGTTAAACTGGAAGAACGCTTACTTTATTATTTATCTATAAAAACTGAGTTCTCTAACCATTTGTTGTAACCGTAAATATTTGCTAGGATTAAAATTATATTTGTCAATTCTACCACAAGTATCATGTAGTGTCCTGCTTCGTCAGTTTCAGCAGTTAAGACAGATCCGTTAAAACGATTCTTTAAGATAGACACTCCAGCAGATTGTTCTGTTCCATGTGACATCCAAATATCAGAACCCCACAGCGAACGTCAGAAATTTCATCCCAACGTGTCAGTACCAGAACTCCTGATCCGGTCCCAAATTATCAGTACCAGAACTCCCGACCCGATCACAACGT